TTAACCATGTTATTATTTGCATACATGCATACATGCCCTGACGGTACTTAATGGGCATGACAGACTCAACAGATATGGGACAAAAAACAATAGGAGAATGCCTATTGGACCAAAGTTGCTCTCAGATACAGAATCAAATGTGGATGCGTGTGAGTGACTCTGGCCTAATTTGAAGGGTGGGGGAGTGGATTAACACCCTACAGGTGGCGCTGTAGGGACACGGGTGGTGCTGTGGTCAAAACCACAGAGCCTAGGGCTTGCCAATCAGGTTGGAAGTTTGAATCCCTGCGACAGGGTGAGCTCCTGTTGCTCGGTCCCAGCTCCTGCCAACCTAGCAGTTCAAAAGCACATCAAAGTGCAAGTAGATAAATAGGTACCGCTCCGGCGGGAAGGTAAACGGCGTTTCCATGCGCTGCTCTGGTTTTGCCAGAAGCGGCTTAGTCATGCTGGCCACATGACCCAGAAAAACTGTCTGCGGACAAACGTCGGCTCCCTCGGCCTATAAAGCGAGATGAGAGTCACAACCCCAGAGTCGTCCACGACTGGACCTAATGGTCAGGGGTCCCTTTACCTTTACCTTTAACTCTCAAATATGGATGAGCTGTTGAGACTTACATTTGAGTACATTCCTGAGATTGAGACACTTCCTAGAAAGTGGGACTACCATAAGAATATCAAAAGAGCCTGCTAGATGCCCATGGGAAACCAGCAAGCAGGACCCAAGCAAAAAGGAACCCCCTCTGCTCCTGCAGGTTCTGGCAACTGGTATTCAGAAGCATAGCATGATGGCCAGTAGCCACTGATCAGCTGTTATCCTCTTGCTAAGACAAGTACCTTACAGCAAAAGCCTCACAAATGTGGAGCTTGTCTGTTAAGGGGGACTCCGGCGTGAAACGACCGAACTAGTATTTGTTGGCAAGGTTGAAGCTGTCTGTTTAGGACTCATTCAGGAGCAGGGCTTTCGCTCACACACTTGAAAAGGTTAAATTAACACACCCAAAGCAGGAAGGTCATTTATTTTCATTGCACTTATCTGGGATACCTGTGTGTTTTTGCATAGAAACATTGCAGACTGTATACCTCTTGGGTCTGAGGCCTTAATGGCCTGCCAATTTACACACACACACACACACACACACACTGCCCCCTTTCTCATGTGTATCTGAGCCAACTGAGGACACACCAAGGATCTGACGAGATGGACTCTGGTCCATGAAAGCATCTGCCACGGTAAATCGGCCCCAGATCTTCAAGACAGCACAACACATTTCCTGGCATCTTATCTATCACCATTCCTTTCATCACTGTTCTTCAGGGCTGTGTGCACCACTGCTTGTGTAGCTAAAACAGATATCCCTATTTTCATGGGAGAAATGTTGGACAGTATGTAAATGCACATTATGTAGCTAAAACCCACACACAGGTTGAAGGTTATCAAGAGAGTATGGGGGGGGATTTCAAATTTTGCAGAAGTATATCTCCCCCCCCCCCAAATAAACTCTCAAATCAGCTCAATGGGAGCATAACATGCTTGCTACTTAGGGAATACTGGTATGTGTGTAGTTTTTTTTGGGGGGGGGGCAGAAAACCAGGGAGGAAGATAATGGATAGGAAGTCATGGCTGACTTAACTGGGACCTTAGACGGGAGTATTCCATGCTGCAATATTTTATTGTAGTCCCCACATGTCAGGCAGCCACCATCAACCTTTGCAGACGCAAGGCCTGCCTTTAGCTACAACCTGTGCAATGAGGCCACTTCTAATTTTTGGACCAGCGATCTATGCCCCTGTTCCTGTTTGGTTTTGCTTTTTTAAAACCTAGGATGACTGGATGCAAGAGAGGTCAAGGAAGAAATCTCAGCAAGGTCATCTTGTCATTCAGGAAAGAGAAAATCTACACCTTTTGGGATTTCTTCTAGCAGAGGTGAGGAAGCCGTGGTCTTCCGAATGTAGCCGAGCTACAGCTCCCATCACCCCCAAACATAACCCACACTGGTTGGGCCTGATGGGAGTTGGAGTCCAGTCACAGATTCTCCATCCCTGAATGAGATACACCTTTGGCCTATGTTGTCTGGGATGTTTTTAAATATTTGAAAGCTGCTACCATGTGCTAAAAGGGACGCAGGTGGCGCTGTGGGTTAAACCTTAGAGTCTAGGACTTGCCGATCAGAAGGTCAGCGGTTCGAATCCCCACGACGGGGTGAGCTCCCGTTGCTCGGTCCGTGCTCCTGCCAACCTAGCAGTTCGAAAGCACGTCAAAGTGCAAGTAGATAAGTAGGTACCGCTCCGGTGGGAAGGTAAACGGCGTTTCTGTGCGCTGCTCTGGTTCGCCAGAAGCGGCTTAGTCATGCTGGCCACATGACCCGGAAGCTGTATGCCGGCTCCCTCGGCCAATAAAGCGAGATGAGCGCCGCAACCCCAGAGTTAGTCACAACTGGACCTTGAATACCAGTTGTTTGGAACCGCAGGAGGGGAGAGGGCTCTTGTGTTCAGGTCCTGCTTGGAGGTTTCCAACAGGCATCTGGTTGGTCACTGGGAGAACAGGATGCTGGACAAGATGGGCCACTGGCCTGATGTGGCAGGATCATTTATATTTTAAATAAAGAAGTGGATCCAACAACAGAATGTTGCAGCACCAAGTGCTCCTGTTTGCTGTTCCAGCTGGCCATCTTTGCCCTTTCCCAGAACACTCCATTGTATTACTCCCATGCACCTAGTTTTCCAACTTGCCCCCTCCGACAGTCAGGCAACAGACTGTTTGGGGGTAATTGTTCCCCGGGGTGTGTCTGTTTAAAAATACATTTTGTGCTTTTGCAAACTGCAGTGTTCTTCCCAAGCCTGCTGGTGTCTCCCTGTCTCCTCCACAACAGCAGAGGTTCTTCCTTGAGGAAGAAATCTTTATTGAGGTAAACCACGGGGACTCAGCTACATTAGTACAGGAACAACAATTTGAATGTATTATGAATATGCAACACCAGATGGCACCAGAGAGCAGAAAAATTTTTCTACGCGGTTTTCCATAGTTTTTTTTTCTTTTGTTATAAGGATCTAATTTCTGACGTATTTATAGTGGTTATTTTTCTGTGCATAGATCCACCCTTAGAAGGTAAAGGTCAAGGACCCCTGGATGGTTAAGTCCAGTCAAAGGTGACTATGGGTTGCGGCACTAATCCCACTTCAGGCCAAGCGAGCCAGCGCTTGTCCACAGACAGCTTTCTGGGTCATGTGGCCAGTATGACTAAACTGCTTCAGGTGCAATGTGACACCGTGACGAGTTCCAGAGCACACAGAAATGCCATTTACCTCCCCGCCACAGCAGTACCTATTTCTCTACTTGCACTGGCGTGCTTTCAAACTGCTAGGTTGGCAGGAGCTAGGACAGAGCAACAGAAGCTCACCCTCTCGTGGGGATTTGAACTGCCGACCTTTTGATTAGATAGAGCTACCATATTTTTCTGTGTATAAGACTAGTTTTTTCCCCTAAAAAATAATGTCAAAAATTAGTGGGCATCTTATACACAGATACATCCCCCCCCCATTTTCTTAAATCTGAGTCCCCCAAAATAGGGGGCGTCTTAAACATGAGGGCGTCTTATAGACGAAAAAATATGGTACTTTGTAATCAGGCACCGTACTCCTGTGAACATTTCTTCAGAAGTAAGTCCCTTTAACTTTTAGATCTCTGGGGTTTACTCCCAAGCTGCTGTGTATGTGTTAAAAACAAGGCATTTCTCTCCTACTCTTTGAGGCAGATCCTCATCTTTTCATGATTACTCTGAGAAATGCAGCACCAATTAATTGCAATTAACAGTAATCATTTTTGCACTGAATAACAATAATGAGAATTATTCCAATTAATAATAATTGTAATTATTATTGTTGTTCTTAACTGCATTAAATGATAAAATAATTAGCAGTAGAATGAGAATCTTTTCCAGTACTACTTACGCTGTTACCTCAATTGCAAATTGACACTTCAGATGACTAAGGTACAATAAATAACCAATAAACACAAAAACATACTTTATTTGTTTCTTCTTTATACAAAATAAAGAAACTAGGAGCAAAAAACTATAATACATTCTTAAACAGGTGTGTTGCCTCCGAGGAAGGTTTAGACTGGATTGGCGTTTGCTAGCGACATTCCAAAATTGGGTTTTTAAAAAACTTTTATTGGTAGTTGTGGTTATATTTCCGCCAAAATAATTATAATTATAATATAATAATATTAATAATAATAATAATAATTAAGAAAACAAAAAAAAACCACCCTCCCCCAAATCCCTCTCAACATATTTAAATAAGTCCTGCAAGTCGTTCCAGCACTTACCACGAGGGGGCGACGTGTCACCAATGAAACATTCCTCCTATCCGGAGATCTTTTCCCAAAGTCCCTTCTCCTGCCACTATCGAACACGCACAAAATAAACCTTTTAATTAAAATAAACTGGTTCTCTCTTTTTTTTCGGATTTAGGAAAAACAGAAACCCAAAACAACCCAAAAAAAACAACAACCCAAGACGCAATCCTGGACGGGGCGGGGACAGGGGTTGGTCGTTTTGCTCCCCAACCTCTTTCTCACATCCTCCAGTCTGTGAAACAGGCGAGTCCAGCTTTGGTCCAACGAATGGGCGAGTTCCAGAGATTCGCTGCCAGAGGTTCCTCGAACAAAGACGGCGAACCACCTCTGGGCGCTGCAACCGGGGTGGGTGGGTGGGTTGGTTTGTTGGTTGGTTGGGGGTCCCGCCAGCCGTGTCCAACGTCCCCACTGTGAGCCCACCCGGGGCCAGACAGCGGGCCGCGCGCGGTCCTTGAGCGGCCCCCGAGGGGCGTGGGGGGGGAGAGGAGGTCTGGCGAGGCGCGATTTGGCATCACGGTGGTGGCGCTTTTGGTAAACGGAGTTTTCGCCCCGACGGAGCGGACGGAGCTGGACAAAAAAAGGGGCTACTCTTCTTTCGGTCCGGTGAGGTCAGGCGCGCGCCCTCCGCCAGGGGGTGGCTCTACCACACGGCCGTCTCGTTCAGCTCCTGGTTGGGGTGCGAGAGGGGCCCGCTGTAGCTGGACATGGAGAAAGGAGGGCTGGGACCCCCGCTGAAGACCTCGCCCGGGATGGGGTGCAACGAGCCGGGCAGCCCGGGCTCCGGGCTAGGCGTGTCGGGGTGAGAGATCATATCCGTATACCTTTGGTTCTCGGAAGCGTGGTGCCCGGGAAGAGGGGGTTCCAGGGGTCCGAGTGGCGTGGATCCGGCCCCCGAGGTCGGGATGTAGCTGGAATCGGCGGGGGACTGCGCCTGCGAGGGGGGGCCGTGCGGGAAGAAGTCGTAGTTGCCCCCAGGGCCGTAGTAGTCGCCTTGGTAATCTGAGCAAGGGAGGGGAGAGAGGAGAGGGCGAGAGCAGGTGAGACGGGAATCTAAAACCGGGCTGGCGAGATCCTACAAGGAGAAAAACCTTCCTTCCCTCAAAATCAAAAAATTCCTCCCAGTAGCACCTTAGAGACCAACTAAGTTTGTTACAGTGGTACCTCGGGTTAAGTACTTAATTCGTTCCGGAGGTCCGTTCTTAACCTGAAACTGTTCTTAACCTGAAGCACTACTTTAGCTAATGGGGCCTCCTGCTGCTGCCGCGCCGTAGGAGCACGATTTCTGTTCTCATCCTGAAGCAAAGTTCTTAACCTGAAGCACTATTTCTGGGTTAGCGGAGTCTGTAACCTGAAGCGTATGTAACCTGAAGCGTATGAAAACCGAGGTACCACTGTATTAGTGATGTATGGAAGTGAGAGCTGGACCATAAAGAAGGCTGATCGCCGAAGAATTGGTGCTTTTGAATTCTGGTGCTGGAGGAGACTCTTGAGAGTCCCATGGACTGCAAGAAGATCAAACCTATCCATTCTTAAGGAAATCAGCCCTGAGTGCTCATTGGAAGGACAGATCCTGAAGCTGAGGCCCCAATACTTTGGCCACCTCATGAGAAGAGAAGACTCCCTGGAAAAGACCCTGATGTTGGGAAAGATGGAGGGCACAAGGAGAAGGGGACGACAGAGGACGAGATGGTTGGACAGTGTTCTCAAAGTTATGAACATGAGTTTGACCAAACAGTGGAAGACAGGAGTGTCTGGCGTGCTCTGGTCCATGGGGTCACGAAGAGTCGGACACGACTAAACGACTAAACAACAACAACAAAAGTTTGCTATTGGTATGAGCTTTCCTCCCCTCAGTTAACCATTTAAAAAATCCCATGGATGGAGATGTGGTGTGGTGCAATGGTTAGAGCTCTGGACCGAGGTTGGGGAGGTCCGGGTTCAACTCCCCACTCAGCCATGAATCCCTGTGGCAAATCACTATTTCTCAACCTACCCTACCTCACAGGGTTGTTGTGAGGATAAACTTGAGGAGTGGGGAGATAAGAGCAATCTCCGTGGAGGGATGGATAAGCAAGCAAACAAAAAAGCAATACATCAACATATCGATGCCAACGGGATTTGCCAGCCCTGGGCTAGGAAGAAGAAGAAGTCACCGCTGGCTTCCTGCCATTTCTCTCCTGGACGACCAGGGCAGGTGGGCAGCTGCGCCCACAGAACTGCCTTGCCTTGCCAGTTTGGGGAGTTGAGACCATTGCGCGTCACGCAGCTCCGTGCTGCGCGCAATGGCTGGCAGAGGCTCCTCTCCGGGGTTCCGGGCAGGGAATATTCCCCAGCACTAACCCGGAGATGTCATCGGGGATGGGACCTGGGACAGAAGCCCTTCCGCAAGCATAGTTGGCCATTGACATCTCCCGGAAGCAAGAGCCGTTTATGTTAGTCTTGCTTTAAGCGCAATCGAGTTCAAGCATCAGCTCCGCCACTGAATCCAGCTCGACTCCTTTCCGGAGAAACACCTCGGAGAGGTAAAGCTGCAGGCCTGCGCATTGTTGGGCGGCTGTTTTGCTCAGAAGCAAACCCTCCACACCCCCTGACCTCCCCCAAATAAGCAGAAGGAGGCTCACAAAGACGTCTGCAGAGGCCAGGACAGTCGTAAAAGAATGAAGGACACTCAGGAAGGCCCGAGAAGGGTCAAACGCATAGCTGTCAACTTTTTCCTTTTTTTAAAAAAAGGGAAATTCCCTTATTCCGAATAGAACTTCTCGCAAGAAAAGGGAAAAGTTGACAGCTATGGTCAAACGCCAGGCAGGATTCAAACTTGAAATTATCCACAGTGGGCCAAATGAAACAGGCCAGGACATAACCCCAGGAGAAGTGCAAAGATTATTAACAACCACGATTATTGCAAATAGTAGAAATGTGGCATAGAAATATATTATTATTAGTAGTAGTAGTAGTAGTACAATAACAGCTGATATTTTATTTGCATGCATTATCAACAACAGCAAGAACAACAGCATGCTGTAATAATAATAATAATAATAATGATAATAATAATAATAATAATAATAATAATAATAATAATGGTATGCTAATAATAATTTTATTATTAGTATAACATGGTAATAACAACAACGTACAACAACAACAACAACAACAATATACTGCTACTAAATTTATTGCTCGGGTGCTGCATTTTCACATTGATCTGCCCCCAAAACAGCTCACAGCACAAATTATAAATCAGTGAGCGCGCGCGCACACACACACACACAGAGAGAGAGAGAGGGAGGGAGAGAAACATACACAGAGACATTTATACAAAGGATAAACTTCTACCACAGAAACCTAGGCATGGACACGGCCTTTAGGCCAGAAACCCACTTATAGCTCGATGCTGTACAGGTAAACTCAAAAGTTCCACTCAATTCAATAGCGCCCCCCCCCCCAGTGAGTGGGTGTAGGATCGCAGCCATGGCGCGCAAGACGGTTGTGCCATTTCCCGCATGAGGATGAGGGTCTGTGATCAGCTACTGTGGGGTGGGATCGGTGTGCGCGCGCACGGAGGCGGGGGGTGGACGGTTTGGGGTCACCGAAAACAACACAGTGTGAATCTACGGCGATTATTCTTTATAAAGTGTGGGGTTTAAAAACAAGAAATAAGTAAATGCATTCAATAATAAACTAAACAATAATTTCGGTGAGTTTTGTCTTAATAATTGGGACAAATTAATGGAGGGTGCCACGACTATGAGCTGCCGGAGCTCAAAAACAAAACCTCCATCCCTGGAGGCACTATACCTTGAAATAAATACGGCAGAAAGAGGACGGTGAAAAGCCAGCTCCTTTTGTTTTGGTTTTTTTGCCTAAGCGCTTGGCTGGCGCGTTCCGCGGATGTGGGAAGCCAAAAACTGGATTTTTTTAGCCTGACGCATCAGACAGGCTCCTCCACCCTCCAACTATCTACTACCGCCTGCCTAAACTGTCATGGAACAGTTTAAAACGCCCCACAATTTTATGCTTCAGAAACAAACACCCCCGACGACACACTCAAGCGGTATAAAAGCATCCTCAAAGGACATCCGCCCCCCCCCCCGCATCGAATTCTATTCGATACGTCACAGCGTTACAAACAGAACGTTCGTGGAGAAAGTAGCAGACACATCAAAGCCCGGAGCCGCCTTAACGTTCGTTTGTTTATGGACTGCTATCAGATGCGCGCCTGATTCTATACGCCCCTTCCATACGCTCCCAGCCTGAAGAAAATACGCGCAGGAGGGAAAGAGGGGCTTGTAACAATTAAAAAAAAAAATAAATACAAAAATCTCAAATCTCCAGAAATTGGAGCTTCACATTCAAATTAGTTAATCTTTACTAGCAGGAACCCGGGTGGGAGGAGGAAAAAAAAACTTCTTAAAATGCGGTGGGACTTCAACGCAGAGTAAACGCGCTTAGGATTGGGCTGCAAATTTAGTTTCGGAAAACTAGGAGGAAGGAAGGGCAGAAGCAGTCGCTTTAAACCGGCTGGAGTTAATCAATTCTCTCCCGGCCTGCACCTTCCTCACCCCACCTCCCCGCCCATCATCCTCCGCCGGTGGCGGATAGGATGTTAATTCGATTAAAGATACACCCATTCCTTAAAAAAAAAAAAGGGGGGGGAAGAAGGCCCACACAAGCCTAGAACAAAGGTGTTCAGCCGGAGCCAAGTCCGCACGCTTATCCTCTAGAGGGGAAGAGGTTACTTACATTATCTTGCCGCTCTAATTATTATTATTGCTTTTCATAATAATAATTTTAAAAATAATTCATCACTCGCCCTTCACTGGCAGGTCTCGGGGCCAGTTGCAACTATTTAAAATTCAGAATAAAAGACACAGTTGAAAACATTGATTCACAAGAACAGGGCGGGTTCTGGAAGCACACACTAAAGTGTCAAAGGCCACGGTCTTCAGCATTCCCGCAAAAAGCTGCGTAGTGAAGGCGCCAGACGCACCTCTCTGAGGAGGGCAGTCCACAGCTTAGGAGCTGCCACAGAAAAAAAGGCCCTTTTCCCGGAAGTATACATTTATATTACGCACACTCACACAGACACGTTTTTTTCCATGAGAGGAGGGCATTTTCTGCACATAATTTGACACATACACTCTCAGAAATAAAGGGAGAAACTTCTGGGAACAGCTAGAATTCGCCAGCGAACAGGAGTTTCTCTTCAGGCAGCCCGAAACCCCCGCAGGGCACCACGTTGTAGCAATGTATTTTAATATATCTTATTTGACTTCACTTCTCATGCTAAATATCCAACGTACAGGCTGTTCCCGTTCCTCTCGGATGCTTAAATTGTGGCTTTATTTATTAGTTTGCATGCTTTTTTTTATTTCTGACACCAGAAGATAGTTCCATAGAATGTACATTGAATTAATTATTTACTTAATTAATTGTTTAATAACACTCGTGTATACCTCTTCCTAACAACACCCGCGCCCGCGCGCATGGAACAACTAGAGCTAAGGAGACGCGTAAAACACACGAGAAAATCCTCTGCAGTGCTTATAGGAAAATAAGTCCCGTCGTGTTCAAGTAAGTTTACTTCCCAAACCAGCCTAGCATCATTCCCGTCACTACCCGAAAACTACCCCTGGCGATTTAAGGGGAGAAGGAGCACACAGCCATAAAAACGGCCTGATGCCGAGTCCGACCAGCTAAACTCAAGCATTACCTGCGCTGACTGGCAGCGACTCTCCACGGTTTTAGACAAGGGATTTGGAGGTACCATTTGGGATTGAACCTGGAGCCTTCTGCATGCCAGAAAGATGCTCTGCCACGGAGCTACAGCCCTTCCACGGGTACCAAATTGAATAAAATATTGGGGGGCCCAGGCAAGTCCCGCCCTGCCTAATCGATCAGGAAACACCATCTGAACACCATCTGAACGGCAATGCCTCTCAACTCTGGAGGGCCCAGCCCTCTCAAATATTTTATGGGGGGGCAAGGGATCTAGGGGGAGGAAGAATGCCAAATAACACCCCCTACCTCCAAAGACTGGGTATAAGGAGCAAGAAACCAGACAGACCTCGGAATCCTCGGGAAAATGGGGTTTCTAGGTTCCCTCCAGGCGAACCTTGCTCAAAGAAGTAAATAAATATTTTCCCTCCCGGCCTTTGGTTCCTTTTGGGGGGATTGTTTTTTTAATGGGGTTCGCCTTCAGGGAGCTGGAAGGTGACGGGGTGCGGGGAAACGGGGACGCGGTGCCTGGAAGACAAATGTCCGGGGCCCTGGCCAGAGGCGGCGGCCGCCTTCCATACGCGCCTGGGGTTCGGCCGTAATTGGAACAAATGCCGTCTGAAAAGAGTACAAAGGCGAGGCAGCTGGAGCTTTGTTCGTCGCAGCACAGGGCGAGGGAGCGCGGGGCGTCAAAGGGGTCGGGCACAGCCGGACCCTCCCGCACAAAGCCCCCTTTCTCGGGCGGGGCAGCGGGAAGGAGGAGGAGATCCACGCAGGGACCACGCCTCCTGCCCGTCGAGGAAAACCGACGGGGCGGAGGGAGAGGCTGGCCTGAAAAATGTCGGGGAAGCCGTTGGAAAGGGTTAGATTTAGGAACCAGCTGGGGGGCGGGGGTAGGGGAAACCAGGGGGAGGGTAAGAAGGGGAACCAACGGGAGGAGGAACCAACAAGGGGGGGCAACTATGGCGGAAGAGGAACTAAGAGGAGAGGAACAGCAAAAAAGCAGGGGAAAGGGTGTATTTTTGAGGGGAGGGGGCGGGCAAATTCAAGCAACCGGCGGCCCTGGTTTCCGAGCACCCTCCGATTTTCAGTGATTTTAGCGAAGGCAGGAAAAGAGCGGGATTAAGGGAGGAAAGGGGAAGAAAAGCGGAAGACAGGGAGAGGTGGAAAAGGAAGAATCTGTGTGGGAGAGGAAGTAGATGAAAAACTACGAAAGAAAGAAAGAAAGAAAGAAAGAAAGAAAGAAAGAAAGAAAGAAAGAAAGAAAGAAAATTTTACTCTTTCTCCCTCAGGAAGCAGGAGGTTCAGATTCTAAAGAGGCTGGCTCCAAAGCCAAGATTGGTCCAGGTTTTACTCAAAGTAGCCCCTAAGTTATTTGCTCTAGTGACTGATAGATAAAACTTTATTCGCATTAGCCAAAGGCCATAGCAACAATAAAACATTACAGTATACGCAGAAAGGGAAAATTGGGCTCTAGTGATTATTTATATGTGTATTTATATACAGCTTCCTTGTCAGAAAATGGCTTCTAAGCGGTTTACAAATGTAAACCCAATGATATAAATTATATCCGCCCAGTTAAAACGCACAATGAATGAAACCAGTTAATCAAACCATCCATAAGCGCAATATACAAGAGGACAAATTCATTAAAACAGCATGGTTGAAGAAACAATTAATACGGTTAAACAAGGAGGTTGTGGCCAGGAGATCAAGGCTAGCTTGTCTAGAGAGGCGCGTCTTCAGGAGCTGATGGGATGTCCAAAAGGGGCGGAATTTCAGCAGCGAGAGTATTGACTTCAAGTTAGTCCCTAAATGCACATTTACTGCGAAGTAAAATCTGGCTGTGCTCACAACATTCAACCCCCTTTTAAAGCACAGCACTTCTACTCAAGAAATCATAGGAATTGTAGTTCCTCACTCACAGATCTACCGTCTCCGGTACTCCGAGGGGAAAAAAAGTTCCCAGGGTCCTTTGGGAAAAGTCATGTGCTTTAAATGTAACTAGTGTGGATCTGCATCAGGTAAGGATGCCCAGGTAAATGCCTCTAGGATGGTGATCCTTGTTTGATTGGGATTCTAATATGTTTTGGGGACAAAACTCAGAAAAAAGTCAATGGATGAAAGAAAGGGAAAGCGCCCACCACGATTCCGCCCACCCCCAATCGGGGGTGGGGGGACCTTCTTACCTCCGTAATAAGTATAAGGGGTGGAGCCTAGCATTTCGGATTCATCCAAGCGGCCTCCCAGAGGGCGCATGCGTCGAGGACTTCTGAAAAAAGCGTGTCTCCGGGCACCCAGCGCGCTCAGTTGTTTCATCCGTCGCTCCTTGGACCGTCGGTTCTGGAACCAAACCTGCGGGGGGCACAGAAGGAGAGAGGCCACGGTAACGCCCTCCGGCCGGACTGAACCCGAACAGACACCCAAAAGAAAGGCCGACGGATGGAGAGGCAGGAAATTAGGATAAAAAAAAACGCACACCACACAATCAAACTCAAAATATACATAAAGGGAAGAGAAGATGGGGAAGCGGGGAGGGGAAGAGAAAGTGGGGGAGGGCATTCAATGACAAAAAGATACCCCCTCCCCCTGCTTGCAGAAAAACGTAAGGGTTTTCTTTGTAGGTCCATCAAGAGGAAACCCGGTTTGGAGGAGAGGGGTTCAGGATCTGCCCATGAAGACTAAATAGTTGAGATTCCTGCATTGCAGGGGGTTGGTCTAGATGACCCTTGGGGTCACTTCCAAGTAACTCTACAGTTCTGTGACTCTAGGACACTGAAAAGTCCCTATGTATTACTGTGCTAATAAATGATGTTATATTGCCATGGACTGGTAGTAGGGTGGGTAGGCCCGCTAATTTGTGGGGTGAAAGGTTGCATGATGGCTCTGCTGCTATGACTGCTGCTGCTGTTTTGTGCCCTAATTAAGCATCAGTCTACTACTACAACATAGAAATGTCTAGTTGTTACTACTAGGAGTAACAACTACTAGGAGTAGTGTGCACTAAATGGTACAATTAGCAGTGTGGGGAAACAATCCAAAATATCTCCTGTTTCATCACTTTCCCCGCCTTAAAAAAAGCATGTTGACCTGTACTAGAATATCCTAGAGATTTCCCACTGCATTTTTAATACTTCTTGGTGGTGCTTGTATTGGTTTTGCTCCAGTATTCTCAAAAAACCTGGTGCTTTAAAGTACCAGAATGGGATTCCCTTCTGTCCTATGTTACCCATAAGACTATTCCTGTTAGATGGGATCAAAGGTCCATTCGAACTGGAGAGGGGGAATCTGTGGGCTGCCAGGTCAGGTTGGACTGCAATTCCCATAATGCTTAGTCATGGGTCATACTGGCTGAGACTGATGGGTGTTGGAGTCCCACCTAAAAGGCCACCATTTCCCCATCTTTGATCTAGACCTGCATCTATTTAGACCTTGCAGGTGCTTTTGAGAATCAGATAAGCAGAACATGAAGGCAACACCCTTCTCTCTTTTCCTTGGCCTCAGCAGCTGAACTTAAGAGGTATAGTGCCTCTGAACTTGGAAGCTCCACTGTCATTCTCTATTAAACTGCTCCAGAGAGAGAACACACACTTGCAAGATACAGTGGTACCTCAGGTTAAGTACTTAATTCATTCCGGAGGTCCGTACTTAACCTGAAACTGTTCTTAACCTGAAGCACCACTTTAACTAATGGGGCCTCCTGCTGCTGCAGCAGCGCCACTGGAGCCCGATTTCTGTTCTCATCCTGAAGCAAAGTTCTTAACCTGAAGCACTATTTCTGGGTTAGCAGAGTCTGTAACCTGAAGCGTATGTAACCTGAAGTGTATGTAACCTGAGGTACCACTGTACTCAGTCCTACACAGGCTGTTTCATTCATCATGGACAGGAGGAAAAGGCAGGGGGAACTAGAGGAATCTGATCTGTAAGCTGCCCAGAGTGGCTGGGGAAACCCAGCCAGATGGGCAGCATATAAATAAAATATAAAACTACTGCTAATAATAATAGTAGGGTTTGCTTCAGTAGACTCCATGTGGCATGATGCTACCGGACCACCCAGATGGGTGCTACATGGCATCGTTGCAAAAGAACACTGATCCCATGTTTCAAATCCACAATCCTTGAAAAACCCTTCGGGGGGGGGGGGCTGTCGTTGCATTATTCCTTTTCAGCCTTGGCCTCTGAATTGAGGTAAACATCAAAGGATTGGATCCAGTGCAAGCCTTACACAGAATACATACATTTCCATAGGTCTACTTTGAGTAGGACTATCAACAGTTACAACCCATCTTTTCCACCTTGGAGGTCTCTCTCTCTACATTTCTATGGCTAAATTCTGATGACTATATTTTTTATTAATGCCTATATGATTTTATGACTTTTTCCCTGTCCACTTATCTGGGAGTAAGCCCCACTGAACTCAATAGGATTTACTTATTAGTAGGTAGAGATCATATTGTACTATTTTTTTTAGTCAGTAATTTTTTTAACCCACTTTTCATAAGCTACCTTATGTGATGATATTCTAAAATTCATGACATTAATCCATATTGCCATCATAATGTATTGATAACTGGAGCCAAGTCGATGGATTTGAGGGCTGTATCCAGCTAAGTTAGATTAGATCAATTGAAAATGATAGACTTAAATTAGCCATGTCCATTAATTTTCAGTGGGTCTACTCTTGATACAACTGACGACCCTGTGGCTCCATTAATGTTTAATTTACAACTCGGGGTCAAAACAAGTCATTGTAAGAGAGGCTGCTTTATAAGTCAAGCAAGAGTCCCTGAATCTCACCAGAGCTACTCATTGTTCTTTTGGCCTGCACCCCATCCCAATTTTAAACATAAGGCAATCATACAGGAGTGTGATAAAAATTGCTGAAATGCCCTGCATAGGAATGCTACCAGGTACCACTGTTCCATTTTGAGTTCCTTCAAATTCTGTGCGCAATACAAATAAAAACAAAAAAACATGTAATACTAATTTGCTATCCTTTCACTTGCCTCTATATTATTGCAATATTGCATTTATATAATGTTTCCCATTGTTTAAAATGGCTTATCAAATCCTCCCTTAGATTGCTTGCAATTTCCAGCAGAACAGGGTTGTGTTAAACTGAGACATACTCAGCATAGACCCATTGAAATAAAGGGGCATGACTAATCCAAGTCCAATCAATCAATCAATCAATCAATAGTTTCAGTGGGTCTGCTCTGAGTATGACTTACTTGGACAGAACAGATAAATAGCAAACTTACAACAACATCATGGCTGTCTTAACACCAGCTCAAAACCATGCATGTTTACTCAAGAGGAAGTCCTGCTGATTTCAGCTAGACTTACTGGTAACTTCATAATTATTGTGCCCAGGATTGCAGTCTAACCTCCAACCTCATGGGGGCAGTGTACATTGCTGGGGGAAGGGCCATAGCTCTATGGTGGAGCATCTGCTTCTCAGGCAGAAGGTCCTGGTAGGTCTGGGCTGGGAATGTCTCCTTCCTGAAACCCTGGAGAGCTGCTGCCCAGTCAGTGAGGATACTGAGCTAGTTGCACCAAAGGCCCAACTAGGTATATAAAGCACCTGTCTATGTGTTGATTTCAGTGGGAGAGCACCAAACTGAGGGATTCATTTTCCTGTTGAAATCAAAGGGACTAGTGATTTAACTGAGCTGAGGCTCCAATACTTTGGCCACCTCATGAGAAGAGAAAACTCCCTGGGAAAGACCCTGATGTTGGGAAAGATGGAGGGCACAAGGAGAAGGGGACGACAGAGGACGAGATGGTTGGACAGTGTTCTCGAAGCTACCAGTGTGAGTTTGACCAAACAGCGGGAGGCAGTGGAAGACACGAGTGCCTGGCGTGCTCTGGTCCATGGGGTCACGAAGAGTCGGACACGACTGAAGGACTAAGCAACAACAAGTGATTTAACTTTGCCGGGCATAAGTACTGTCTGTGCACTTTAAGGACCAAGGCTGCAGTTCTCTGCACATTTACCCAAAAGTAAATCTCGTTGAAATTACTAGGAAACGCTTCTCTGCAAACATGGATAGGGCTGGGCTTTACAATTCTAGGCATGCATCCTTATGAGGAAGCTTGACTGAGCATTCGTAGCACTTATTACTTCAAAGTAAACATGAATAGGCTGGTTTGTTGTTGTTGTTTAGTCGTTTAGTCGTGTCCGACTCTTCGTGACCCCATGGACCAGAGCACGCCAGCCACTCCTGTCTTCCACTGCCTCCCGCAGTTTGGTCAAACTCATGCTGGTAGCTTCGTGAACACTGTCCAACCATCTCGTCCTCTGTCGTCCCCTTCTCCTTGTGCCCTCCATCTTTCCCAACATCAGGGTCTTTTCCAGGGAGTCTTCTCTTCTCATGAGGTGGCCAAAGTATTGGGGCCTCAGCTTCAGGATCTGTCCTTCCAATGAGCACTCAGGGCTGATTTCCTTAAGAATGGAGAGGTTTGATCTTCTTGCAGTCCATGGGACTCTCAAGAGTCTCCTCCAGCACCATAATTCAAAAGCATCAATTCTTCGGCGATCAGCCTTCTTTATGGTCCAGCTCTCACTTCCATACATCACTACTGGGAAAACCATGGCTTTAACTATATGGACCTTTGTTGGCAGAATAGGCTGGTATCCACATTCATTTTAAAGGGACTTGAGCATACATTTTCCCTTAACTGATTTTCAGCCAGGTCTGCTGGGAAGTAAATCTCATGAATTTGGTAGGGTTTAGTTCCTCATAAAGTGTTCCTCAGGTTGGGCTTTCCTAGGCAGCTAGCATGGTGGGACAATAGGAATAATGGGGTGTACGATGTCCTTTTGATGAAGCATGAAAGTTTTGCCCTTTCTACAAAAGGAGAGAGGGAAGTGTCACATAGCCTGCAACAAACAAAAACAAAAACAAAAAACCTATACTTTAGTACTACCCATCCGGATTTCCACTATACATAAAAACAAGTATTCTAATATTCCACACTTAAGTAAACGAAGGTTTCCCAAAACATTTCAGGATGAAGAACGAAGGTAAAATGATGGCCATCTTCTGGTAAGGAGGACAAAAAGTTTGAAGATTTCTGTAGCTCCTTCCAACTTTCCTGGTTGTTGCTGGGTGATGTGAGTGAGTGAGTGTGTGACATCATCTGCAGCTCAGATGACATCACATCACAGGAGACCCTTTGCCGATGTCAGTTGTGACAAGCTATGATGCAATCTGCAACATGTAGAAGATCACCCCCTTTCGGTAGACGAGTGCGTGGCTGGATATAGAGAACGCTGCATTCCAAAGAGCAGTCGCTCCACCATCCCCTAAGGGCCACCAAAATGCACAGAGATGAGCAAACCCCTCTATGGTCTAGTGCAGAACAGGTAAGGTGATAGTCCCATCGGAGCTCGGACTCAACAACCGGGCGCGGGTCCTCTTACCTGGATGACTCTCATGTTGAGTCCCGTTTCTTGGGCCAGCTGCTCCCGGATATGCCTGGTGGGCTTCGGGGTGGCAGCAAAAGCTGCTTTGAGGGTCTCCAGCTGCTTAGCCTTGATGGTGGTCCGGGGTCCCCTCCGCTTGGTCCCCGAGTTCTGCTCCTCATTCTCGTTGTTGGTGGTCTCTTTGTCGGAGGAGGTGGAGTTGTCGGTCTCCTTTGTGTCGTCCTGCATCGGGTCCTGGATGTCTGGAGACAGACTTCGGTCGGTACAAGAGGACACTGACAAGGAAAGGGGAGAGTGGGCGTCACTCTTTGGGAAGAGAGGGCTAGCAGCTGCACGGGTCAGATTTACAGAAGGAAAGGGGTATCAGTCTTTCCCTTTCCCAAAGGGATCACTTGGAAGGACAGCCTTCATCAGTCACCGGGCTTAGGTATGCAAAGACCCCTCCCCTCCTGCAAAATCAACATCAGATTTCATCCTGTTTGGACCTAGGGTAGTAGAGAAGACAGGCCTGGAAAGGAAGGTGGAAGTGTGGTGTAGTGGTCAGACATGGACCTGGGAGACCAGGGTTCAAATCCCCACTCAAACCATGAAGCTCACAGGGAGATCACTGCCTCTCGGCCTATCCGACCTTGCAGGGTTGCTGTGAGAGCAGGGAGGAGAACTTTGCGCGCCATTTTGGGAAAGGAGGGCGACACAGACAATTCAATCTTACTAAGGAAGCAGCCACCAAGTACTGCTTTCAGAGAAAAGCAGTTGTCTATCTCTGGTTGGGCTCCCTCGAAAGAAACACGCAGAAGGTGAAAAGAAAAGACAGGAGGAAGAGGACACAGGCTGCCCTGAGGAGCACCGAGGATCCCAAAGGCGGAGGGAAATGCAATCAATTAATTGATTCATTAATGAATAAAACAAACAAATAAAGCCGTCTGAAAAGCAGAGGCCAGCGGCGCTCCACCCCCAGTCCTCTTGATCCCTTTCCCCCATTTTCTCCCCTAGATCCAACTCAACCCAAAGCACCTGGGTCCCGAACCTGAAGAAGAAGAAGAAAAATGGAAGGAGGGAGGGATATGGACAGGTCTGGTTTTGGAAGGGGTGTTGCAGGGCCATTGGGGCGGGGAAGAATCCCAGACTATGTGCTCTCTACACACCTTAATGGGAGACGCGCGTTTCTGGGAAGGCGGCTCTGTTGGACGTAAGGGGAGTTGACTTCTGAGCAAAGGGAAACATGTCCTAGTTGCAGGAGTTGTGAAATAAAATGAGGCTTGTTTTTCAAAAAAGTAACATCGCCAGCAACCTCTTCAGTACGTTGCCTTCTAATTTGCTGCGGCTGCTATTTGCATTTATATCCCACCTTTCCGCAAGGAGCGAGGTGGCACACATCGTTCTCCCTCCACAACAGCTCTGCGAGGTAGGTTAGTCTGAGAGGCAGTGAACGCAAGGTTCATGGCCGAGCGAAAATTCGAACCCTGATTTCCCAGGCCCAAAACTGTAACCGATACACTACACTTGCTTTCAACCTACTTTCAAGAGGATTTTTCTTGTCTCCCCGCTCTAAAAGTTCTAATTTTATTCCTGCTCACTGGTAGAACATTTGCTCTGCATGCAGAAGGGAGCTAGCTGCTTGAATTCCCGGGGTCCCCCGATACAGCTGAGATCGGTAGAAAGCCGCTGCCAGTCAGGGTAGACGATATAAGGCTGCTTCCTACGTTCCTGTGAGGTTTGGCTTGCTAAGCCAGTCCCCTCTTGGAGGCCCCGCTCTCACCAATAACTTCCCCCTGCTGGCCCTATTAATCGACGCCCGCCCCGTCTAAAGAGAGGAAGGCCGTTTTGAAATTTGCTTTGCGCTTATTGATACCGCTGGAAGGAAGCAAAAAGGCTCTGGGAGGCGTTGGAGACACCCCCACTGGTCCGTAGGTCTCCCTAGAGGCGCCTGCTTGGACGCTCTGGAGAAAAACACGCGAGATTGGAGGGTCTTTGGTCCTATCCTATCCAGCAAAAGCAGTTATTGTATTCAAACGAATGCAACGTGTTTGGGGGGGGGGGAGAGGGATTGGACCGCCAGATGCCTCCCCCTCGACGGCTGCTGCAGGGAACCAGGGTCATATACCCCCACAGATGGAAGCGGGAAGGCACTCCTAAACAGGGTGACTTCCAAATCCCCTCTTTTACAAAAACAAAACAAAACGAAAACAAAACAAAGACGGAGAAGGAAAGGGACAAATTCGACAGATCCTCCAAGCGATATTTTTCTGGGTAAAGCTTTAAGAGTAGACAAATACAAGGTCTTCCTTCTCTCCTTCACTCTCCCTTGTTGCTAGCACACACACCCCTAATGCTGTGCAATCCATTTCGGCACCGACGGGTTAATTCCCCAAACAGAAAGAACTGGAGCCACGGTCTTCACCGCCGCGGCTCATTCTTCTGTTCCCTCCCCATGCGAAATCCTTCCTTCACTCTCCTCGTCCCTCTTTTGTCTCCCTCCTTTCCCCGCTTCCCTTTGTCTAAAGTTAAACTGTAAGCTCCTCCAGGCAGAGACCCGCCTCGCGCAGAAATCCTTCTGCGCGGCGCCTGGTGGGATATAGAAAAGGACCTTCCAATAGGCGGAAGAAAGGCGCGATAGAAATGCAACGTCGAAGGTCCTCAGAATCATTCTGAAGGTCTGGGCTGGGGGCTGGCTGCGCTTGTCCTCATCTGTCCCTTCTGACCCATCCATCTCCGCTCTCTTTGCTCCTTCTCCGTCCAACGTAGGTTTGCAAGCAACTCGGGGCAGGGACCTGCGTAACAGCGCAAGCCTCTGCGCCTTTACTGGGAAATCAATCGCACCCAGTTCAATGAGTCCTACTTCCCAAAGGAGTGTGGCTAGGTGTCCACACATCAGCAATCAATCAGCAAAAAATAAATAATAACAACAGGAACAGCAAAATCCCTAGTACCGCTCACTAAGAGCAACAGTACAGTTGTTATAGGAGACCGCCCCTATCCAGCAGCAAATGCACGCTATCCAACTGCAGGCCGTTCGAGTTACTTTGGCAGCTGCGGCAAAAAGCAAAGGAACCTATGAAGCTGTCTGATACTGAATCAGACACAAATTGGTCCATGTATTGCCTCTGCACCGACCCACAGCTTTCCAGGCTTTAAGACATGGCATCTCCCCCAGCCCTATACGGAGATGCCGGGGACTGATCCCGCGGACTTCTGCACACAAAGCAGATCCTCTACCACTGCACTAAGGCGCTTCTCTTCCTCCCTGGCGCGCGCCCGCGCTCGCACACACAGAGAGAAATCGCGAATCAAATAGCTAACAAAAGGCTGTTCTTTCCTGACACTCCATATCGGCTGCCAAAGGCGACTCCTTCCCCCTGCCCTAGGGTAGGGCCGGCTCCGTCGGCTCACCTGAGTTGAGACTGCCTTCTTTCAAGCTGGCCGAACTCAAGTAATCGTCCTTGCAGACGAATTTGTTCTCGTCGATGATGTAAAGCTCCTCGCCCGTCGAGAGCTGCTTGTTACACACCATGCAAGTAAAACAGTTCAGGTGAAAGACTTTGCTCCGGGCTTTGCGCACCAGGTCCGACGGGGAGATGCCTTGCGCGCACCCGGCGCACTTGGTCCCAAACCTCCTGGATACAAAAGAGATAGCGTAAGAGTGGGGTGAGGAAAAGGGGGGAGGTCAGAGAAAGAGAGGATGAGGACTCACTAAGGAAGGAAAGGAGTCTTAGCGGGGAGCCGCTCTCCATGGTATTTTTGCGCGCTGGGAACTTCTAGACCTTCCCGGTAGACGCTGCCAAATAATTTAGGGACGGAGCGGGCGGAGGGGAACAGAAGGGTCATTTTATTACCTAGCCCCGGAGAAGTTTTGGCCTCCAGTCCAGAGGAATTGGGCCATCTCGGCCGACTTTGCGCAGGAGAACCCCCGTCGGATCCAGTCCCGGGTGCTTGATCTACCTGAGGCCTGTAGCAACACTCTCCCTAGGTCCTTTTTTGATTGTTTGTTGGCAGCCTGGGGTGCGTCCCCCCCCCGGTGTGTGGTGCGTTGGACTGAATCGGGGCCACAGTAGAAAGACCCAAACTGGGGTCCTTTAGATCTAGGCATTAGGAACCACCCCCTCGCCGTCGCAAAAAGCAAAGCGCGCTGCGTTAGGGGAAACGAGAGCTGTGTAAAAGCTTTTAATTTTCCTTATTGCAGCGAGTTGTGTGGGTAGCTAGGCGTGCGTGTGTGTAACGTGTAAGAATCGCCTGTTGAAATGTGGTCCAAAAAACCAAAATCGAGGTCTCTGTATCGATGTGTCAGTGTGTCTGCCCCCGCATACACCTCGAATTTGGGGTATAGAGCGCACAAGGCTCCAAGTCATCACCTGCTCCTCCGGTTGGCACCATTTTCTCCCCAGGATGGCCCACGGTGACGTTGATTTAGTGAAAACATTACAACCCATAAATCATTTTGGTGCGGTTAGTTTGTATGGCGGTCGCCTCATCTGCACCCTATTAATTTTTTTTTTAAAAAAACAACAAACCGTTCAAGGGGTTTAAAGTTTTTAAAAAGTGGGGGTGGGGGAGGGAAGGGGCTGGAAAGTCTAAGAATTCAGAATGGCCATTACAGGCCCGTTTACATGTGCAAAGCCAGCTTAGCCTCTATTCATTCATATGCGTTTGCCTTGGGGGGCCCTATGCCCGCAGAGCTGAAGTCACTTCGGCTCCCCCTCTCTCGCCCTACAGCACCGCACTTTGCCGCGCCTGCCATTTCCATCCCTAAACAGATAGGCGCTTTACCTCCAATTAATGCCCGAAAACAAAAGGCTGGGATGGATTTGCATTTGCAAAATGAGGGTTTATTTGTTGATTTTCATTTTACCGAAGACAATAAGGAAGGGAGGTGGGGGGAGTGAGAAATGCGGGTGGGCCACAGTCAAAGGAGGCGAAGATTTCCACCTCCTTCTCCGAAGGTTTTTGGCGGGGTGGGGGACAACACCTGAAAACAACAGGCTTTTAAGATCTAGGGGGCTTTGAAAAATATTATTGTTCAATAATAATTGGGGGGGGGGACTTGGACCCCTTTCCTCTGGATGAAAAAATAATGTGCCTCTATGAATAGCCACAAAAATGGATTCGCCTAACTGTGTATATATTAGGAGGTGGGGGTGGCGAACAGGTACCGCTCCCCAAATACCCCCGAAACTGTCACCCTTTGCTTATATAGGCTATAATTGCAGCCCCACTTACCTGGGAGTAAGCCCGGTTGAAATCAATAGGACTTTAACTTCTGCGTAGACAGCTGTAAATTGTGAAGGAGACCGTTGAAATCAATCGGACTTACTCCCGAGTAGGGTCGGACTGCATATATTTAAACCTCGGTTGCTCAGACTAACAGGGGGTGGAGGGGGGGTGCTGGTTATATTTTCAAGGAAAATATAAAATCAAGGGGAAGGGGATTGCGTCGATTTGGTATTGCTGGGGTGGGGAGGGGGGCGTTTGGACTTCCAGACGCAAGAACTTCAGGACCAGCGTCTGGGCCTCTGTTATGCTGACAAATATTTGTACCGTGCCGCCGGGAAATTCATGGGCTTTGGCGCGCCTAAGCCCACCTTGGTGCGCAGCCTCGACGTCAAAACAGCAGACCTGAGTTTACTCGGAAGGAAGCCCTAGTGAATTCGATGGGCTGGTGTTCTTCCTACGGAAAGCGCGCACATAATGGTAGGCTAAATCTTCTTTCGACCCTTTCTCTAAAGGAAGGAGGCTCTCCTTGCCTGTGTCAAAATGGATATGGAGTATTCCTTTCTATTTCAGTCTTTCCTGGGTAATTCGGGTAGCCCGATTTCGCGCCCTCTCGGATAAATCCATCGCTGGTGGAGAGAGCAGGTTTTGACCTTGCTACTCCCCCCCCCCATTTGTCAGTATTTTCCAATACCAAGCTATATAAAAACCTTTAAAATAAGAAAATAAAAAATCGCAGGACCCTCCCCCCTTTCTGTCTTTGGCCTTTCTAAATCAAAGGATGCAAGCCTCTTCCTCTTACTCGGTAGTAAATCCCATCCCCCCCTTCCCATGGGACTATCTTCCCTAGGAACCGAATTTAGGATGGCCCGATCCTATGCCCCTTTGTTCAGCAGCAAGCCTCCATTTCGATGGAACTTACTCCTGGGTAAAGGGCGCATGCCTAAGGAGCACGCTTGGCGATGCCTGCCTTAACCCCAAGGAAACAGCCATAGAGGGATCAGGCCTTTGTGTGGGGTGTGAGTGGGGGGCGTTGTTCAGAGTCAGGGCCCTTAGCGTCTATTTACACATTGGCTAGCAACACTTTTTGGAGAGTCGAGAGAAGAGTAGAACCGCAGTCCTGAAGGCGATGGACTATGGTGGGCAATTTTCCGGGGTGGGGTGGGGGGCGGGAGGACTTCAGGGGCTGCAATTCTAAACTCAGAGGTGTCGCACTCCGTTTAGTGGGGGCTCAGACCCTAAGGAAGTGGGGTTACGACTACAACCCACATCATCCAAGAGGGGCTATTGGGGTGTTGGTGGGGGGGTGGGTTAGAAAAGAGAGGGGGGAGGCTTAAGGGTGGGGGAAGGAGATGGAGAGACGTCGCCCCTCACCTGAAAAAGTCGTTCTTACAGTAGAGCTTGCCTTCCCGGGAGAAACATTTCTCGGTCAGGTTGCATTTGCAATCGCAACACTGGACGCACTTGATGTGCCAGGCCCGGTCCAGGACGTTGAGCAAGAATCTGTCCAAAATCGGCCGCTCGCAGCCGGCACAGTGAACCATCATAGCCGCGGCCGGATGGGGGTGGTGGGGATCTCGCCGCGCCGCGCCCCGCTGCCAGCCCACCTCGCCTCTCCGCGCGCTCCCTCTCCGGCGCGCTTCTCGGTGCGCTCTCGCTCTCTCTACTTGCCGTCGGGGCAGCGCGCTAGCTCCTCTCTCCGCCTCGGTCCGCCTGCAGGGCGCCGTCCGGGCAGGTCAGCAGCGACGCATCCTCGGCCCTGCAGGGAGCCTCGACGGCAGCGGTGGCGGAGAGAGACGAGGCCCAGCAGGCCCGGCGCTTCCTCCCCTTCCGCGGTCCTCTCCGCCGGCGTGTGGGTGGCTGCCCGGGACTTTGCTCCACTTTCATGCTGTTCCCATCGCCCAGCTTTGTCTCCCGGCTTTAGTAATTCGCGCATCCTTATTCAGATTTGGTGACGTCGGGCGCCACGTCGGGTGGGCGGCGGCCAATGGCGAGCCGGTGGCTATGGCAACCTCTTAATTTATAGCATATCTAAATTGGCTCCAGCCTTGCGCTTGGCACAGAGGGGGAAAAAGAAGGCAGCCCTATTGTTGAGGGGCGAGATTTTCACCTGGCTTGCCGGGGTACTCTGTGAGTATTTTGCCTCCTCAGGAGCCTTGGGGAGGAGGGGGTGCTCGCGGATCGGGGCCCACGGGGGGCTGGAGGACGTGTGTGTGTGTGTGTATCGGTAGATCGGCCCTGGGGAGACCCCCACCCCAAAGAAACAAGCCAGCTTTAGCAATAAAAGGCGCCCTTTTATGCCCCCCTCTCGAGAAATCTCTAAAAAGGTGTCAGGTGGGGGGCAAGGAAGGCATCCAAAGATAGTTTTCCTCGCGGTTTCCTTTCGGGAGGGGGCTTGGGCTGCGAGCGGGCAGGCGGCGTTACCTGTCTGAAACAGTTGCGCGCGAGGATCTGGGCTGTAAAGTTTGTGTGAAATCGAGCCACTTATTCGGGACTCTGTATGTAAAACTATTATATTATATTTACTATATTACTGATGACGAATCCATCCCGGTAGTAAAATGAAAAGGGACCGGTAATTCTCGGAATGCCCATCCTACCACGTTCTGCTCAGAGTAGACCCGTTGAAATGAATGGACTTGCGTTCGTTGTGCCCATTCTTCCGAGTGGGTCTACTCTGAGGAGGACTGGCATGCAACCCCTGAATTTTTCTTTTTCTCTCTTTCTCCCTCCCCCTCATTAATAATAGTAATATTAATAAATAGGGAAAATAAAACCTTTTGGGACCCCCTCCTTCTTTATCTTCTCGGGAAAGGGACTGGGAATCCTAAAATCTACCCCTCCCAGTGAATAATACTAATGCGAATAATTATAGCAATAAAACTTTGCCAATTAGTCCGCCCTTCCCCCGCACGCCGCCGCCCTCCAATTCAGGGTTTTGAAAATTGTCCAAGGAAGCAATTGCAGAGGCAGAAAATGAAAGGGATAAAATAATCTTCGCGAGAAACGAGCGTTCGAATAGAATTTTCACCAAGACTCGAATGCTTAAAGTTGCTACTCGGAGGCTGGGGGAGTGTGAAAAAGCGAGAGTGAATCCACCGCGATATCTTTCGTGTTCCCCTTTAACTTCTCCTGTGTGGATTGGATTTCTCCAAGCCCCGATTCTCTCAAGGCCTATCGGTGGGGCTGGGGGGGGGGGGGGTTGCTTACTTGGGAGGAAGGGTCATTGAAACGCCACATGGCCCAGTTAGGAAGGTTTGGGAGTGAGTTGGCAGGTTCCCTTCCCTTAAAAAATAAAATAAAATTCCTGATCTAGGAAGAGTTTGGAAGTGCATGATCCAGGAGTGGGGAGGAGGAGGGGGTCGTTGGCCTCGTGCGCCTGTTGCCTAGGAATTTGGAGAGAGGGCTTGGCACCCCCCTTCTTTTTGTCATGCAAGGTGCACGGACAATAGGGGGGACAGGAGAGATTAACTTACAAGGTTCTCTCTCCTCCCCCACACCCCAAACCATTCCTTGCTCTCTAGAAATGGGAGGGTTTGACAAGCCTCTCACAAAGCCGCCGTGAATGGTCCGAGCCCCAAATACATAGTTAGTCATTTCATTAAGTCTGATAATGAAGAGAGAACTCTCTCCCCCCCCCCATTTGTACGACAACATTAGAAGTGTGGGTGGGTGGGGGGTGGGGGAGCTGAGAAGCAGAGCTTCAAAGAAGAGCGGGGGGGGGGGGCAGGGCAGAAACCCAAATAAATGCCCCTTCCTTCCTTTTCCCCAGAGCTCGCCATCTGAAATAGATGCCATCTGAAAAGAGAGAAAATGGGAATCGTTCGTTCTTCCTAAAGAAAATCTATTTCCTCGACGTGAGCTCGGTGCGTTAGGAGGCCAGGCGGGGACCTCAACGGGATCCTTCCCACATCCTTACTCTAGGAAGACCCCCTTCCTCTTTCAAATGGAATCTAATTTTTCATAACAAAAAAACAAAACAAAAAACCAAGCCACTTAATTTGCCTATTGGCCAATTTCTAATTTTGGAGGGGGGAAGGAGGAAGCGCGCTGGGCTGGATAAGGCCCCGATTTTAAAATACGCGTCGGAACAAGAGGGAAAGGTGGTGGGCAAAGCTTCGGTGTGTCAGGGTCGTGTTTGCGTGTGTGTGTGTGTTTATGAAGTCGGTGGCGAAGGGAATATTAATGGCCCTTCCTGGACCCAACGCAGAAAAATGTGTTCAAAACAAAGGACTGGTGTGTTGTCCTGTGAGTCCAGCAGCCAAGACTTTTGTTCCCAATGTGAGTGAGAGAGACCAGCTATAGAACAAGGGAGACGCTGGACTTTGACCGGAGTGGAGAGTTCTAAAAATGGAATGTTATTCAGTCTGGCAAACCTATTTTTTAACTATTATTAAAGCGGAAATCGTTTCCTGCCTTGACTATATGCAGTGAGATTTTAAAAAAGGAAAAGGGTTGTGTGTGAATGATTGTAAATTGAGACTCTCACCCTTAAGCTTATTCCCTTTGGCAAGATCTTTCCAGGTTTCCACCCGTTTGAAGGGGTTCTCTGTGTCCAAGGAAAGGTCTAAGGATCGTAGAGGTTTGTGGGTGGGGGTGGGGAGGTAAATTCGACTTAAAGCAGAGTACTTCGGTTTTAAGATTCTGGATTGTTTTCTTTGGGTCTCTGTGTGAGATACGGCCACCCGCCTCCCAATATTTAGCACGGTGCGAAGGTCTTTGTCAAACGTGGGTGTATTATTCCTAGCGAAAGCTTTTCCAATTTAAACGGAAATTCAATTATATGTACCATCCAGACACATATATCACACGCACGCGCACACACGTGCACTTATCTCCATCCCTATTATTAACATACCGCTCACACAACTGCCATGTAAGACGTGAAGTTAATCCGTACCCTACCTACTGACTATGTTGGTGGCATTTAATGTTGGCGTTCGTATCTCCCTTTACCTTCCGGTCTCAAAATCTTTTTGAATCTTGAAGAGACTCGGAAAGACTCCCACGCAGAAACCCATGGCCTCGAGAAGCATTTGGAGGGGGGGGGGGAGATCCGTGGATAAACACTCTAGATATTTGTTTCCTTCCAAACACAAGGCAAAACAAATACCTTTATGTACACATACATTTCCAAAGGCGCCCTGAGCGCCCTTTCTTGCAAATATTTCCTATTGGGTAAAATATATCAATAGGACTTGCATTTATCTGCAGGTTGGTTTTTTGGGGGGGAACGATTTTAAAAAATTCTTTCCAGTTTTAAAACTATGTTTTTACCTGCGTAGGGTAAATCGAGTCCCGCATATATACACGTATATGTATACAATATAGTAGAACATGCATTGTTACTCGTGGGTTGTGTTTTTTTTAGTGTGGTTTTGCCCGTAGCAATTGTTTCCTTACCTATGAATAAAACCCCGAGGAATTACCTTGCGTTTATATTTACCACGCACCGCAGAAGTTTAGGTTGTTATGTACCAATGAACGAGGTGTGTGGTGAGCGCGGAGACAGGGTAGCGCGCACGTTCATGCACACACTTCGCCATAAATCTATATGGAACGAAGGAAAAACGAGTAGAGAACAAGACATCCAAACCCTAGATAGAAGGGGCTTTGGACTGAAAAAGTCCGCAAGCCTGAAAATTAATGCACCCCCCCAAAAAAAAGCCTTCAAGGGTCGTTTCTATAGCGTTAGACCAGAGAAGTGTACTCGAAGGTGGTGGAATATGGACTCCAGTTTGTGCAACTTCAGTGCAATTCGGCATGAAGAACGTCCTACCTAGAGAGCCTTCGTTATACGGAGATATCTGTGGAAAGATACGCAGTTACTTGGTCGTGCGTTTATGAATGCGTAGAATACCCTGAACCTCATCGTTAATATCTCCCGGCCACGTGCTTCCTTCCTCCTTTATCGTCTATAAAATATTTGATATATGTAGGGGTTCTTATCGTTTTCACCCAACCTTGGCAGCTTCTTCTTCCAATTTATTCTTCGGTGTTATGGGAAGGAGGTGGAGGAGAAAAAGAGCAGGGAACGGCCGCAACAACCACCTTGATTTCTTTTATTTATTGCCGCAATCCTAATCGCATTGCATTTACTTCAAAGTAAGTCCCGATGACTTCAGGGGGTTGCGCTCCTTCCTTCAGCGCGGCTGGGATCGCAGCCACAGCGCAACGGAGGGGTCCTTCCTTTATGGCGCTAGCATCCCTCTCGAATAGGGTTGGCCATATTAAACCCAATCCTCTCTTTCTCAGAAACGCGCACACGCACAAATCCTCCACCCCCGAACCGGACCCCCGGCCTTCATCACTATCGGCTACTCAAAAATCTGCATGGGGGAGACGAAAGCCCCTCACCCACCCAGCTACGGTTCCTTACACATCACCGGGCATCTAAACATCAGAACTGATAATGTCCACAAAATCGATAATTTCCCTCCCTATCAGCATCTGGGAAGAGGAGATAACTCTTTCTCCCACCCTTTCAGTTCTCCCTTATCCAGGATGGAACAGGCTTTTCATCCCTCTTCCTCATTTTAATGCACTG